CTTTACTGCATAAAGTCAAAGGGTAAGAGCTTTTGTTGTTACTATTAAAAATGTTCTCTTAATCTCCTAATCTCATAATACTTTCTTTTTCTACAGGTTTACGTCCCAAAAGGTGAGTGAAACTCGTCAGCTGCAGTAATATACACAAATATTTTTATTCTAGTAGTAATAACATATTTTAATTGTTTCAGACTCACACAGTCTGAAACAATCAACCAGGAAGAAAATCAACAACGTGTGTACACAGCTCTTTCCCACGGTCAGGTCTAACACTGTTTATGTGCTTTCATCAGTAATATTATACTGTTAAAAATTATTAAATGTTAGATCATTTATCAATGCTAATTATTGTGACTGAATCTCCACTGTTATTATCTTTCAGGTGATCGTTGTGTTTATGAGACAATGAGGCCTCTGAAGATGCTGGGCCAAGTAAAGTATGACAATGATGAGCCATGAAAGTAGCGGAATGACTCTGGGATTTCACGTAATTCAATTCATTTGAAATGTTTTTAATTTCAGGTAGATCAAAAATGCAGTAACATTAAGTCAGATATGGGGTGCTGCAGTATTTCACTGTTAATTTAGCATCCTCAACTGCTTTGGTGCAAGTCTGACATCAGAAAAGTCACTCTCACCAATAATAAGGGAGTTCTCAAATCCGTAATGCAATTTCCCCACATTCATTAGACTTTCCCATTGTTTTTGTGCACACAACTTTTGTTTCTACACTTACTTCACTGCTAAAGATATCTGTTGATGCATTCTTCATCTAAATCCGACACCTCATCAAAACCTTTTGTACTTTTGCGAGTCACAACTCACTTACTGTCCAGCATTGCATTTGTGCGTTCTGTCAGTAACATGCTGTCTGTGGTAGCAATCAAATTGCTTTTCGGTTGAAACAAATATGAACATGTTCTCAAAAGAGGTCTAGTTATAATAAATACATACAATACATATCAGTCTTGTGTCCACAAAACTAAATGCATCAGTAAACTATAGTCCAATAAATTCATGCTACATACATTTAGTAG